CCTCTCACCCTGTCTTACCTTCAGTCTCCTTCCTGAGCTTCTCTTCGTTGGCTTCCCTCTCCTTCTCTAGTTTCTGCCTCACCTCTTCCAGCTCCTGCGCAGCCTTGGCAGCTTGTTCGGCGCTCACCATTTGGTTGTCTCTGTCAGCGCTAAGTTCCCTCAGGGCATCCGCATATTCCTTTGGGAGAAAAACAAACACGGGCCATAACATGACAGCACTAACAACAAACACATGACTTCCCTAATTTTCCCCACTCCACTCCAAGTATTTGTAATTCAGGAATTCAATAAAACTGTTCTTACTGATTAGCTCATCCTTGCCCATTTACTACTCACCTTCAACCCCCCCCCCCCCCCGAGCCCCTTCCTTTACAACCCATTTTGATGGAAACACCACTTGTTCAATGTCCATCATTTCATCTCAAAGACCTTATACACTGTTGTTCTGGTAACAGTTCCCCCGGGAAATCCCCTCCTCCATATTACTCCTCCCGTACCCCCTTCACCCTTCCTCAGCCCTCCAGTCCCATCTGATAGCGCCTCTTGTTTGTCTCCAGCTTGACGAGGGTCTACATCAAGCTCCCAGTCCCCTGGAACTCCCCTACCCTACCCTGCTCACCCCTAGCCCCTTTAACCTTCCTCAGCCCTCCAGTCCTAACTGGCAGTATCTCTCCTTCATCTTCAATTTGTCGCGAGTGTACCTCAGTTCCAAACCCCTTGGATCTCCCCAATCATAATTCCCTCCCGACCTCCCTCACACCCTTACCCTATCCCCAAAAAGCCCTCCATATTTACCTGATAGTGCCTCTCTTTCATCTCCAGCTTGCCGTGGGCGTACCTCAGCTCCCAGTCGGCCAGCGCCCCTTGCTCGATGTCCCGCCTCTCTTGGGCCATCTCTCGTTCCAGCTTGCTCAGCTCCAGCTGCTGCTGGTTCAGCAGGGCTGCCCGGCGCTGCTCGGCAGCTTCAGGCGACAAGTCGGCCGCCTTGCTCAGGTCTGACAGCTCCCGCTCGTGCCGCTGGAGCAGGGTCTCCCGCCGGCCGTGGTACTTGTCGTTTAGCTTGGTCAGGGCGCCCTCGATGGCCACCTGGCGCTCGGCTGCGAACTGGGCATCCAGATCATGCAGCTCCTGTGCCTGCCGCTTTTCAAGAACCTGATGAGGAGAAAAATGTTGTTTCAACTAATGGAATACCCCGAAAAATAGAATCAAAATATTGGAACAAGTTCACAAACGCTCTGATTATTAAATACCAGAAATATATTTATCTGGACCAATAAGCCTTTTGTGAGTTCAATTTGAATAAAATCTGATATGCTGAGTATTTTGGTTTTTTTTAAATGCTGAGTTCTTTATTAAAATTCATGTAAACATAACAATTTGAATTCTCTGCACTGAAAACACAGTTGCTATGCCTCCTGATTCAAGGTACGCTTTAGCTCAGTTACATAAGAGATGCCTTGCAACAATACACTATTTTCAATGGATAAGAAGGGCACATAGGAACTGGTTCCATTCTAGAGATGGTGGTCGAATCACGAGGTATAGCAACAGGGTATTTAGTCTGGTGAGTATATATTGTTATGTTTATGTCCATTCGGATAACTCAGTGTACCAGACTGTATTCAAATTTAACTCCAAAAAGGCTTATTGAGCACAGGCAAATATCAAAAAGTTTAACATTCAACACAATGTTGTAAAACTTCATCTTGTCAGCCACTCCATCCAGGGAAAATTTAGATGATTACATAAAAAGCTAGCTCATACTTTGAGCAGATGCAAAAGCAAAGCGGAGATGTACGTGCTTGTCACAAAATTTTTGCAGCCAAATTTGCTTCAATTGAAATGTGTTCAAACAGTGCGAATATCTGAGCTGACATCACAAAAACTGCATTTGTGTCGGTTACCACGCTTCAATGCAATGGCCTTAACAAAAGCTTTTAGAGATCTACTCACCGCACGGATGACTTTCTCTGTGTTGTCTACCCCTTCCTCCTGTATGCCTTCCAGCATCGCCTCCCGCTCCGCTTTCTTGACTACGGCCGACTTGACCTCTGCCAGCTCCTTCTTCTGCTCCAACAGCTCCCGGGCCATCTCCACGCCTTGCTTGTGCTTCTGTTCGGCCAGCAGGCGGCGTCGGCGTTCCGCCATCTTCTCCCGGGCTTTCAGCTGGGCCTTGGCCCGCTGGCTCTCCAGCCGGTCCTCTAACTCCTCCAGCTCTCGGGCATGGGAGGCAAGGAGCTGTGGTTGGAGATAGTGTCAGGAAGGACGGATTGACTGCAATGCAGGCTTAAACTTTTTAAAAGAGGTATTAGTAACTTACTCCTGGAAATTCTGCACGGGGAAGACGTGACCGCTTTTGATCTCAATGAGTGAGGCAGAAACATGGCCAGCAGGCAATAGGGCCCTTTCAGTGGGCTACTGTGTGAACTCTGGCCAAAGGAATTGCACCCTCAAAAAAAAAAAATTTAGCAGATGGCTCTATGCCTGACACGAGTGAAGTCAATATACATGTTGCAGTCCAGTCCACTACTCCCACATCCAAGTCTGTGTACTAGCGCTTTAAGTCTGAGTCCAATTATTCTAGTTCCAGTCTGAGTTCTACTGGATCTAGTCGGAGTCTGACTTCGACTGGTTCCAGTCTAAGTTTGAGTTACGTGCGAAAAATCTGAGTCCCAGTTCAATAATCCAAGTCTGAGTCCAAGTGTAACCGAGTCTGTTGAAAGGTGGACTCAAGTCTGGTTTTGAGTCCGGACTGAAGTCCTACCACCCTGCTAAACTCACACTGACTCAGTAGTCTTTACCTGTCCAGCCTCCTCCTCTGACATGTCTCCCCGCCTTGCAGCCAGCTCGGCGGCCTGCTTGTTCCTCTTCTCTGACAGCAGTTTGGTCCTCTCCCGGTTGAATCGCTTGGCTTCGTCCTCGTCTTTCTGCTTGGCTTCGGTGACCAGCTTCTCCGACAGCTGTTCCTTCTCATCCTTGTGGCGTTGGGTCAGGTCCTCTTGCACCCGCTGGTGCTCACGGAGAACAGCCTAGCATGAAATTGATGCGATTGTGGGTCATGCTTGCAATACAATTATGGTACTGATCTTCAACATAGTTTCTAGCATCTCTTCTAAATTAGGCTTCTTCTTTGAACAACAAATTCAAGACTGATGCTTTCATCTGGTGTTTACCACAATCATTTCTTGTACATATATCCTCTCGATGTAAAGTTCAAGTCTAATTAAAACACAGAAAGCCAGAGCCTACATTTCAAAAAAGCTTTCAGGATTCCTTGACAGACTGGTTTGTGGTCCTCGCAAGCAACAAATTCTCAAAGCTTTTGAAACAACTTTTGAATCCTTTGAAAAAGGTAAAAGATTAAACACATCACCTGTGAGACCTGGTGGACACAATCAACATGTTCCACAACAGCAACATTGAAAAATCTTGGAAAACCTTCAAAACCGCCTGCCTCAAGCCTTTCCATTTCCAAAAATCCCAGGCGTGACTTCTCCAAAGTGAAAATTAATCAAGAAAATATCCCCAAGTTGGTTCCAGAAATAAAACTTTAAGAGTCCTGGAGGGTTACCTGCTCTTCGATGGTCAGATCGGCCATGTCAGCTGGCGACAGGCTCTGGAGGCCTTCAACCAGCTTGCCCTCGCTCAGCTTCTCCCGCTGCTTCTCCTGCTCAGCCAGCAGCCTCTTGGCGGCGTCCTCCTGGGCCAGCCGCCGTGCCTCCAGCTTCTTGCGGTCCCGCCGGGCGTTCAGCTTGGCACTCAGGTCGGCCTCCTGCCGGTCCCGCTGCACGCCCAGCTCGTAGGCAATGTTCTCGTTGGTGCGCCGCAGCTGGTCCATCAGCTGTTGCTGCAGCACCTGGTCCACCTCTTCTTTTTTGGAGAGCTGCAGAGGCATCGGAAAGAATCGTCTGACTTGTTGGTATTACACCAGATACGCAGAATAATGCTGCAATCCAAATATGCTTTGTCTCGATCTCACGACCACACCAAGTCATTAAACACCAGTTGGGTAGACTTTGTCAACAGCATTGTTAAGGAGTGAGCTTCTAGTTTCAAACACAGAAGGCCATTAAAGCTTAGCAAAAATTTGAGTGCTTGAGGTCCTCCAACTGGTATACTTCAATCCCCTTATCCAGGGAAGACCACTAGTTGAAACCTTTGATTTTGACTAATCTTCCAAAGTTCCCATGGGTCCAAGGCAAGTCATCCAGCCTGAAGCTAAGTCACAAGCTATTCAAATGAACTACCGGTACGGCAACAGCATTTCACTGTCACTGATCCATCCTGCTACTTGTGACCAAGTTGGTGACCAGCCCTGTGAAAGCACCTGGGAAAGCAGACTTGTGACAGACTCAGCTTGAACCCCCGACTTGCAAGGGGCGTGGGACAGGAGGTGTACGTGGTGAGGGGGGGAAGGGCATGGAGGTGTGGGGAGAAGCTAACTCACGTTATCCAGGATGTCTCGGTGGCCCTTCCTCAGCTCTTTGCCGTACTCCTCGTCCACCTGTCGCTCGATCTCCTTGAGCTGCTGGGCCTCCTCCGCCTCCAACCGGGATTCCAGCGCCTCCACCTCCTTGCGCTGTCGCTCCTGGAGATCCTTGATTGCCTCGGGATCGGCCGAGGTGCCCAGCTGGTAGAAGAGGAGAAAGAGTAAAAGCTTCAATAACACCTAAAAAATGCCCAGGCAATAAGATGGTTTCATGTACCCCCTGGTCCTCTTCTGTTCCTTTTAAGGGGTGAGTATAATTCAGATTTGAGGGGACTTTTTCAACTTTACCCTAAAATCAAACATTAAGCCCTTATTTAGTGAATACCTAAGAAAGCCACACAGAAGTCCAAGAATTCCCCCCCCCCCACAAATTACCACCTCACAAGTATCTTGGTAGTAGATCGTCCCTTGGAACTTCTCATACAAACCTTAGCAGCTAAGCCGTTTTACAAGCGCATCTTCCTGACGCAACTAGAAGTTTTGAAACTTTAACCTTTTTTCGGGGCTTTTGTTTTGTTTTGCAAAAGAGCACCTCTAGTTATGAAGCAACCATACAGGACTTCAAATAGAGTGTAGGCTTGCAGAAATTAAATACCGTTCAAATAGAGTGTGGGCTTGCAGAAATTAAATACCGTTTTGTGTTGAGTAATAGAAAATCAGTGGAAAATACCGCTCCTGCGCAATAATTGTAGCTCATAACTGTGCAAGGTTAGATTCAACTTTGCCATATAAAGTGAAGTTAAGGACTAATAAATGAGCAACTACCAACAAGTTTACATAAGCATTCAGGTTTGTTAGAAAATAAACCTTAACCAAAATTTGCGAGTGAGCATAACAAGAGCTTAATTTAGGGAAATTAAAGTGGCAAACATTTCAAGTGTGAGTGTGCACTTTCACCTTATTTTTAATGCCGCTCAATGCTACCAGTTTCCAATCACAAACTTTAATAACAACTGTAACGACCAATACGGTAGACGTGTATTGGTGTTACCACTAATTTGCTTAAAAAACCTGCTCAGATAGATCAATCAGGCAAAATTGTGTCCCAAGACAAGGTTCTAATAAGCTTCTTATTAGAAATTTTCTGTGTACAATATTTCTTTGAAACTGTCATCAGTCTGTCCATCTTTTTACAACAACTCTCAAACCCTTCTCAGCGTCGGTCATCATCTCAACGAAGGAAGCACTTTCCCAAGTTACATACCAGGCCCGCCCAGCATAAATGGGAACTTAAGCAACAAATGGTGCTACAGATGTTAGGGTCACCGCAACCAACCATACCAAATCATTTTCTTAACAAACCTCGTCTGCTCCTGACGTTTCAGCTGCTGCCAGCAAGGGCTATTTATTGGAAAATGTAAAGTGATCATGGAGAGACAGAAATGGAACATGACGTGAAATTAAGAAGACGTGAAGTCATAATTGGAAATGTGAAACTTAAGCAACAAAAAACTTTTTAACACAGACAGAAACACTTCAAAAACAAATCAAGAAGCTTATTCAAATGTGCAAGAGAAGTGTCATCTTTCTTTTTCTTTGACAGCATAATTTTTCTTCGTTCAAGGGAGGGCATCCTATTTGTTTTGTCTGCTCGTTTTCAATGTCTTGAAGACTTCTGACACGTATACAGCCAACATATAGAGTAGTCCCAAGCGACAAAAATGACTGCAGTGGCACCAAATTCGAGGTCCACTTCCAGTTTGCCAATTCTCAACACTCCTCTTGCTGAGGAAGTGTGCATAATGCAAGTACATGGACATGACTCGCAGAAAGGGCATTACCACCACAGTCATAGTGTCTAGTCTCATTAACTGAATCAGTCCTGAGAAGAAAATTGGTAACAAATTTCTTTTGCCGTAAACCATGTCCAAGAGACAAAAACAATATTGCATGAGAGATGGCAGACAAAAACAGTCTGACAGAAGTCTTCCGGCGGACGAAAGAGAGGACGTTAGTTTCAAATCATCAACTGATCACACTGAGTACAAAATGACTCATTGCAAACCTGTTCATTTCTCTCATCTCCTGGGATGTCAGAGTCGCTGCCGCTGTGTTGCGTAGACTGAATATGTACAGGTGAAAGTGAGGTAAAGGGATGGATGAATGGATGAGATGTATGAATATTCATGAATCAGATGTAACACAAAAACATTTGATTTAATTAGGAAATGGCCACTTGTATTCATGCAGTCCTTGAATGAAAACATGCATTTATGAATATTTATAGACAAAGGATGAACATGAATGAACCATGCGTACTATATCATGCTCTTTAGTTGAATATTCTTACATGAAATATGAAGACAAATATCAGCTATTTCAATTCTAACAGACCTCTGAACTGATGACACCACAGTTTGTGCTAAATGGAACGTGAGCCCCCACTGGCTCTGCAGGAAAGTGCACATGCAAACAAAGTGTGATGTCATCAGTACATAAGCCTAATTGAAAGATTACAAATGGTACTTAAATGGTTTCATAATAGTTCGATTAAAGGTACAAATGTCTCCTTTTAAAAGTGAAAGATGAAATTTATATAACGGGGTTTGCCCTTACCCAACGTATATATTTTTATTAAATACTGTATGCTCAGTGCTTGTCCAAGAGCTTGCGAAAAAAGTCACAAGCTTACTCGGGTGGGACTCAAACCCACGACCTCCTGCTTACTAGTGAAGACGTCTTAACCACTCGACCACCGAGCTTGCCGGGGTCGGCTGGCCGGTCCGAGTCAAATGAAGCAACGGGTACCGCTAACTATTTTCAAGATGTATTTTTGCGTTGGGGAGATGCTAATTTATATAACGGGGTTTGCCCTTACCCAACGTATATATTATTAAGGGCAAACCCCGTTATATAAATTAACATCTCCCCAACGCAAAAACACATCTTGAAAGATGAAAGATGAGAATGGAATGCTCAGCGATGAATCGCCAATGAGTATGTTGATCTCATCACCTTGCCATCACTCGAACTTGTTACAAAAAACCTGATGGAATGAGTCGTCAAAGTTGAGTCTTGATACTTACGGCGTCTAGCTGTTCCTGATGGGTCTGCTTCAGTTTGCGTAGCTTCTTGCGTCTCTTGTCTGCCATCCTCTGCTTCATGTTGGCTGTCAGCTGGCTACGACGCTTGTCTATCTTGCCCTGGAGGGTCCTTTCCATGTCTGCTTGATCCCGGACGATGTCCTTGGTGGCCTCGGCGGTAAGCACGCCAGTCACGGCCAGGTTTTCCTGGTTTAAAGAGGCCGGAGAGAGGTTTCACCTTTCAGTGGGCCATAACAGTTCAGGTTTTTGTCCTTGACACTGGACACGACAGCTCTGCATGTACAATCTTTTGGAAGATTTTTACAGCAAATTTTGACAGAGTCGTGGAGACTCTTGGGTGTTTCAACATGATTCTCTATCCCTAAATGACTCTGAACTCAAAACATAAAGTCATTCAAAAATAAAGCACCTTACATCATGCCAGTTCATACATACTTGTTCTCAAGTTGTGAGGACAAACACACATAACTGCATCCATTTTGTTGGGACTAAAACTGTTCTGGGGACAGAAAAACGTCCCCAAAAGAGGGCCCTCCCTGATTTGCTCAGCAAAAGGAATTGTCGACTCAACATGCTGAACGCCTGACTGACTTTGTTCATTGTGTGTGATAGTTGTAGTGATAGAGCCAACTTCACCAGCTCCGATGTTTTCCAATGACGTATGACGAAAGGGAAACATTCCCACAGGAATCCCACAAAGCCAAACACAAGTGAACTCACAATGGCAGCAGTTAGATTCTCAGACATCTTGTGCTGCTGCTCGGCGGCCAGTTCACGGTTCTGCTTAGCCTGGGCCTTGGCCCTGGCCAGGGCTTCCTCGGCCAGGATCACGTCTATCTCCAGCTCCTGGTCCTTCAGGACGTTGGCCGCGTCTGAGCTGTCATCTTGGGTCAGGGTGATGCCCGCCTCGCGAGCCTGAGGGACAGACGGAGAATAGAGAGGGGTAACAGTGCATGACCATCGGGAAGAAATGAAGCACGGCAGTAAAGCTATGGGGGAATTCTTGTGTCAGCGGGAATTTTTTCACAAAACTGTGCCCTTCCTGAATGTAAATCAGTATTTTCAGTGCCATTCTCAAGCACAGCCCTTAATACATCGATTAGGTCAAGACTGCAGACACAGAGGTCACAATTTACTTGAAAACAACTGCAATCAAACAATGTCATGTGTACTAAATATAATATTTCCATAGGTAAAAAAATGCAAGTCCAATATGCATCGAATAGACGATATCAATATTTATTCCAGCCACCTGTAAGTTAGAACACTTATCAACAAGTTTCATGTATTGTTGTTCTGTTATTTTTCATTTACCCCAATTACAGTCTGTATCCTTTTTACCTGTTCTTGTGCTTTACCTCATAGACACAAGTGTTGCTACTGCATTGACATGACCTATGCTATGACAAGCCAGAACAGACTGCTAAAGCCATGGCTATGTCTGCTGTCAGCAAATTTCATGTATTTGCCAATAGTGAAGACCTAGCCCTAGCCTCGGATGCCAAATTTTGATGCGGGGTTGCACCTCCCTACCCACCTCCTGCTGGTGCCTGCTCTTCATTCCCACCTCGGCCGCCTGACGCTTCTGGGCCAGCCTGGCCCTGAGCTCCTCCGCCTGCCGCTGCCGGCTGGCGTCGAATTTGTCCAGGGCCCGGCCCATCTCCTTCTCATGGGCGGCCATGATCCGGTCGATCTCCTCCCTGGTCTCGGCGCCGTCCAGCTTGCCAGCCAGCTTGGCGGACAGGTCCGTGATCAGCTGCTGCCGCTTCTTGTCCTGGAAAGCGGAGGAGGAGGAAAATGTTTGGAGTGGGCGGATACCAAAATGGACAGCCCCTTTGATCCTTATCAATCCTGAGTCTGTCCCAAGCTAACCTAACCGGTAGTAAGAGCAGCGGTCAGTGAATTCAGTAAACTTCTAAACAGAGAATGGGCCATTGGACTCAATGTTATCATTTTGTATGATTAAGCAAATCCAACATGTGACTAGATCCTACAACTGAGTCTTAAGACCATTTTTATCAGTGATTAGATTTTGTTTCCAGTAAAAAGAGTACAGTAGTTTGATATCCTGAGGAAAGTGGTCATTATGTGGGCAAAAAATGTTCAGGAATCCTATTGATTTGTTTTGTGCAGGATTCTTTCAAAGGCCTTCAACTAAAACGTTGCTCTGGAAATCTGTCACTCAATTTGTCATGTTGGGTTGCATATAGAAATGAAAAACATTCATTTGCCCAAGGGGTGCAAAAATGTACTGTTCCTTTGACAGGAAGGGTGCAAAAATGTACTGTTCCTTTGACAGGAGGGGTGCAAAAATGTACTGTGCCTTTGACAGGAAGGGTGCAAAAATGTACTGTTCCTTTGACAGGAGGGGTGCAAAAATGTACTGTTCCTTTGACAGGAGGGGTGCAAAAATGTACTGTGCCCTTGACAGGAGGGGTATTGTGTCTTTGAAAGAAGGGGTGTAAAAATGTACTGTGCCCTTGACAGGAGGGTTGCAAAAATGTACTGTGCCCTTGACAGGCCACTACAGTTGCTCTATTTCAGAACTCCAGAAAGAACGATGCTGACAAATTGAAGAAACTACCAACACAGGGCTTGCTGGGTAGCTTAGCCGGTAGAGCGGTGTTCTGGCGGTCTGACAAACACAGGTTCAAACACCACTCTGATCAAGTTCATCTTTAAAAAGGACCTTGATCAGGCTTCCTTGGGTTCAGCAACTTACCTGCTCTGTCATCAAGCTGTCGATCTCCTTCTCCTCGGTCTTGCGCAGCTCCTTATCCAGCTCCAGCCTCTCGCTGTTCTGCCTCCTCAGCAGGCTGTCCGCCACGCTGCCTTGCTTGGCCGCTGCCCGGCCCCCAGAGGCCGAAGCCAAGCCGGCCTGCTCCAGCATCTCGGGGCTGAGGGGGATCTTGCCGGAGTTGAGGCGGTCCAGGAGGACCTGGAGAGCCTCCATAAGTTCGTGCTCCCTGGAGCTGGCACCTGGAGATGGGAGGGCGGAGAGGGATAAGTTGGGGGTGGGGTTGATCAGATCAGTAACAGGAAATGAGACTGTTATACAAAGAGAAATGAAAATATCAAGGACAGGCGATTTAATTCCATTTTGTGAATTGTGCGGTGATTCTGTAGCACTTCATTCACAGGGGTTTCAAAGCGCTTCACTTGTACAAGTAGCAACCCTGTACACTGAGCCATGAGATCAATTTTCTGCTGCACAGGCACTCATACTCCTGGTTAGAGAGACAACTGAAGGGAGTGTCCCACCCACGGCAAACAAGCATCATAGCACCAATGGGTCTTAAAGCCACATATCATCATATCAGTCGAGTCAGCTGACATTTAAGCACTTTTCTAAAATGTGGAAATCACCTTCTGCATTCAGGCACTCTTCCAGGCACTGTTCAAGTTGTCAAGGCTTTTGCTAATTTCAATGTGGGGTTAGGGTCCTTACTATCTGAATCCATCTTGCACTACGGTAAGTGAATGACACCAAGGGTGTCATGACCTACCCGACATATACAACTCTCACAGGTGACAGCAAAGGGTCTTTCACACCCTGAGACTAACAGGTGTCAAATTTCTAGGCAAGCAAATTCATACAAGCAAAGTGCATGAGAAGAATCTGTATAAATGACTCCGACAACCATGGACTCACCGGTGAAGTTGTACTGCCTGCTGGTGTTGACGATGGTGGTGGAGTCGCCGCTGGTCTGGTACCCTTCGCGCTCGGCCCGCCTGGCACGTTCCTTCTCGATCTTCTCCAGCTTGGACATGTCCAGGCTCAGCAGGAGACCCTGCATTAATTTCACCAAAAATTAAATAAAGGAAAACCAAGTTAACAGTTTACAATGAAAACTAACTATGTATGAATTTATGTAAAACTTGTCTCATGAATGTGGCTACGATTTTGCAATTCAGAAATATCTCCCTTGCTCTGACCCTCTTTCAACCACTGTAGTTGCTTTTTTTCCATATCAGGAAGGATTTCTCAGATGACAAGAAACTCTGAGCACGATTTCCTTAAATGAATGTATTTGGAGTCAAATATCAAGTTCTGCTTTGTCCAGTCTCTAGAAACATCTTCCACTCTACGGCAATTTTAAAACTAAAGCACAAATGCATGTACCACCGGACTGTTCACTAGAGAATTCAGTGTTTTACTGAGCAAGCCAAGCAACCTTCCTTGACAGCACCTAGAGCCAGAAATTGGGTCCTGCCCCAACGGCCAGTCTCACCTTGAGTCCATCTGTCTGCTGTGACATCCGCTCATAGAACCCTCTTAGGTCCTCTTGCTGCCGGGCCAACTGCTGGGACAGGTAGAGCGTCTGATCCTCCAGCTTGTCAAACAGTGTCCTCACATTGAAGTCCTCAAGTTCCGCCTTCTCACCAGCCTTCGACGAGGTGGACTCGGCGCCCGCCACGATGCGAGGACCCATCAGCAACAGCGACTCTCTGTGTTAACACATTTCATAAATTCTCACTTACAAAGCAAGTGTGCTGGTTTCAAATTTTGCTTGCGCAGCGAGCACATTTGGAATCTAGTTGCATTTTGTCAATGAACAAAAATCCTTAACCGGGATTTCTTTGTTTACAGTGAAAGGGGTAGTTCAGAGAAATCTCCCAAAATTTCATAATATCCATGAAAATTATCTCGCTGTTTTTTTAAAATCACTACATTGTCTACCGTGGCATGGAAATGCATGGGTATGCATTGGATGCGACTCTCAGCGTAGCGGCTGTGATATGTGAAACACGCATCAGACTCTTTCCATTCTCAAGCAAGACAGTGGAATTGTGTCAAGAGTTCCACTGAGTCATGGTTGCATTCCGTCAGTGCATTCCAGGGTATGCTTCGGAATTCACATATTCTGCTGCAGTACTAACAGGTTCTTTTGACTTCCAAGTTACAAGCTCCCAGTACGTCCAAGAGAGGGGGCAATTTTCAAAGCGATGGAGGCTCCTTTGGTGGGAGCGGTACTTCGCTGGTTTACAACGACTTTGAGACGTGCACAGTACAGTTGAGTAGCTACCAACAAAAATGAACACTCCCCACCAACATGGCTCTTTTCAGCTGATGAGGGGGTGCTTCTGCTCGAACACAACACATGGGGGTGGGGAGAGTCTGTGTATACAACCAGCGGGGCTGAGATCTTAGGAAAACGAAATATCCTCAAAATAATCACCGGAGGTTTTGAGGGCCCCACAGCACAGTAGGGTCTGAGGTATACATGTACGCTGGTGTATGCTTCAGAGGTAACCCTTTAAAATACCAATTTCTGGTGCTCAATTTCAACCTCAATGCATAAAGAATAACTTCAGGGTTTGCAAGGTGGTTTGAGAAGATTATATCAGAGATGCTGAAATCCAGAGGATGATGACAAAATCATGAGATCAGGAAAAATCCTGACAAATCTCATCCCTGATCCAATGAAATGACTACCTCTGCAAAAGGAAAACCAGTGACAGAGGTACAAAGTGGACACTTTGGTTAGAATGTAGCCTCCTGTAACTAGTCACTCAATAGGATGCATCTTTCCCGAGACGACTACATATTAAATAAGTTGCTACAGGCGTTGCTCACATACACTCTCCAACCCCCCCGCCCATCCAAAAAGAAACAGGTGCAACGATGCGTATTCAAACCATATCCAACATCTAGTGTGAATATGGTTGTCCCCAGAAATAGTGACCTGCCAAACAGTTGACCGGCTAAAATTCCTTATGGCCAAGAATCAGGAAACTGGTGCTGGCCGTGACTTACTTGTCGTTTTCTTGGTACTGCAGGTAGGGAGGAATTCGCGGGGGTGCCCCCAGGGCTCGGTAGCGCGGCTTCCACATCTTGAGTGGGTAGATGCCGGCGCTGCGAGGGCGCCAGACGATGACGGCGATGACCAGCATGATGATGCAGGCGGCCAGGAAGGCCAGCATACCTGGAACATCGAATGTGGAATAAACATGACATTAATTATCGCAGGAGGACTTTGCAGTTTAGCCTTGATAGGTGTGAATGGATCCCATATAATGAGTCTCATGGCAATAATTTTGGTATTTCGGTTTTAGCTCAGAAAGAGTGAAATGAGCTATTTATTTTGACATATCACCAAGTCTGACATCCAAATTAAAATGGAAAATATGTGTGTAAGTATTTAAGGAGCTACCATTGATTTACGTGGTGCACGATTCTTTAAAACCTTTCACTTAAAAATCTACTGACCGATGATAAGACCCCAGTCTGGTTCCTCGTTCATGGCATCCTGCTTCTTCACACTCTGAAGGTTCAGGTTGGCTGGGGAAGACGGCTGGATCACCGACCGCGTGCTGTCGCAGGCCGAGCCTGCCGGCTGCACCGACACAATCACCTCCCACTGGATCTCCTGGGCATCGGCGAAGACGTACTGGCCCGACTCGGTGAAGACGTGGGCGAAGGATGAGATGGCCACCTCCGTACTCTCCACGTAGAAGCGGAGGTCGCGGAACTCGCTATAGTCGTAGGTTGGGTTGGTGTTGAAGAGGTGGTCCTTGCGATAGACCGGATAGTGGCTGAGGCTACGGTTAACGGGGTCCAGGCTGACCCGGAAGAGCAGCATGTCCTCTAAGGCCAGGCAGACGATGGGGTTGGCGATGCCAGGCACTGACACAGCGTCACCACCCGACTGCAGGAGACGACGCCTGCTGCTTGAAGTCACGTTGAAGTCAGAGAAAGTGGTGGATATCACCGTAGTAGCTTCATCACTCTCAGCTGCTGGCAAAACAACACAGAATGCTCAAACAAACAAACAAACACTTTTTAAGACTTTTTAATCAACCTCGGGCTGATATTCATCTCTACTGTAGCCAACAATGATGGGCTAACTTCAAACTGTAGTTGAGTGTTGAAGGCCCGCTAAATTCAAAGATTTTTTGTTCAAACGTTTGCAGTGCCATTTTAAGGCGTTTCAAGTTTGGTTCTCTGGCAGGTTTGTTGTCTGTTTGGGCAAGAAACCTGCAAAACCCCTGCCAGAGTTCTGATTTCAACTCCAAAGTCGGGTTTCTTTTTTTCTTTTGAATACTTCTCGATTGGCCATGGGAAATAAAACCCGAGATTACCACGTCTGTATCAAAGTATCAGAGCAAGACAAACTTTCAGAAAACTAAATTTACAGTACATCATGTAAAGTTATCCCTCACAGGGGTCACGATAAATAAATGATACTCAATACTTGAGCACTGACGGAATTGTTTCCTCCACTGGAAAACAGTTAACTATTTATTTTCTTTCTTACCATGTTTTATTAAGGGTAAGCCATCAAGTGGAAACTGATCATTTAAGGCCCTGACAGTAGACAAGTAATAATAAGTAATAACTCTTGTTATTACCAAAAATCAGTTGCTCCAAGTCAGCCATGTCTCTGACGATGTGGCCCATGGCTCCGCTGGCATCAAACGATGCGATCTGGATGTCTTTGGTTCCAGAGGTGTGAACGCTGGGACCGATCACATTGGGCACGGGCTGGACAGTAAAAAAATGGGAAAAAAATCACCTCGGATAAAGAATCAAATAATCAGGAGCCATTTATCCACACCAAGTCACCCACACCAGGGTACCAGATTACTACACAACCAACACTGCCAGATTTTCTCTGGCAAGAAGCAAGCAATTGAATAAAATCAGAATGATTCCATTTTTAATGGTTACCACTCCTACATCTGAAAAGGAAGGAACTCAGTTGAAAATTCTGATGTATAGAATCTCGAAACTGACCTGCCTGCTCTCTTGAATGGCAAAAACAGCAAAGAGCGAGGTGTGGTCAGTTACGCACTTGTACTGTCAAAACACCAGTGAATTTCTATTTAAGAATTGGTACCGTAAATGCCACATATCGTATGCAATTATGTCCAAACCAAGTCCAACGAACTTGTGTGGAGACAAATATCTTTGCAGGGTGTCTCCGAGATTTACTACCCAGAATCCAGTCCTTGTCTACTGGCCCTGTTCAAATGACTGTGGCTGACAATCAAGAACACACACCCCGATGGGAGCCCATGGTTAGCGGCTTTAGCCATTTCCCACAGGCGCCTATGTTACTCTGATCCTGATTTAGACATAGCCTCTGACTAGGGTTAGGAGGTACGCCAAACACCGCCCTCAGCTGCTCACGCACGGACCCGTTACCTTTGTCGTGACCTCCCCCGAGCCATCATTGGCCGTGCTAGTGACCACCAGCTGGCCCGAGGCTGTCAGGCTGCCCTGGACCGTGGGTTTGGTCTGCTCACAGCTGGAGTCACAGATCTCCTCCGGCGCCGTGTATTTGTTACATGTGCACCTGGAACCATGAAGAAGGACGGAAGGAAAGAGTGAAGTATGTTGTGAAAATAGCATCTTGTTTATTGATTCCCAAGTGGAAAAGAGAAAGATCACTGTTGGGAGTGTGCGTATGCTGGAGTTGGAAGTTGGAGAACATCAGTTTGAACTGCGCACAAAGAGTACTTTGCGTCTTTCAGGCAAGACAATGTCAATAAATACTCAAGTGAGGAGTGGCGTCTTACACTTTAGGCTAAAAGAGCTTGGGGTACCCCCAGAACAGTTTTGCGATATCATGCCAAACCTTCGGGAGTGTTTCCACAGATGTCTCCTGGTCATTTTGACCCCAATTTTATGAAAATAAGAACAAACACTCTCATGATATGTACACCATTTCCAAGACAGATATATGCAGGCCAAAAGGTTTGGGCTTTTTCCACTGGCTGTACTCAGAGAACCAGGTACGACGTATGAACACTTGCCGAATTTCAAATGATTCCCGAGATCTTAGGGCAGGGGAATCCCCACTCCCCCAGCTGTGACAAGAGTTTACAAAAATAGCCCTTTTAAGGCCAACAGCAGCTAATTTTACAATTCCGTAGAGTGATGTTACAAACTGTGTGTCAGTTCAACGTTCAAGGACCAAAGTGAGCAGGACTCGGTTTTATACCAGTGATGTAGTTGAGTACTATTTGAGAACCAAATTCTCCACTAAATATTTAACTAGTTTAGGAGGGAGTAATGCT